TGTGTGTGTGTGTGTAGCTCACTATACTTGTAGGGTCTGACAGCCTTGTGGTGATCAAAATGCTGGACCCTTCAGGTTTAAAAGGCTGTTTGAGGGTTACGAATTGGTTTCAGGGTTATGGTTAGAATTAGCTTAAGCACTGAGTAAGGGGCTAGAGGATGCATTATGTGACAGGTCCTGTGTGTGTGTGTGTGTACACAATGGGTAGTCTGAACAAAAATAACACATTATAGGTTCATAAGCTTTCATGGTATTTATCAATTTTTATAGGGTTATAATTTGATATTGAATTGACACCTTTATCCCACTCCTTTCCCACAATTCATTGCAAAGACTGATTTTAGAATTTACTCAAAAAGTATAGATACAAGAAAGGTTATTTCATTATAGTGACAAACAATGTCTCACCATATGCGGCTCCTGTCCTGGCTGGCACTGGGGGCAGGCCTGGCAACTGTTACTGGTCTGGTTGAAGAATTCATACTCTCCACAGCTGGAATACTCCGCACTAGCAAACATACAACACACCTGGTTGGACAGAGAGAGACAGAAGGGCAGACAGGGACAGACATAAAAAGTGAGATTTTTGCATGACGTATCAATAACATTTTCTATTTGTGAAAACAAACATGCTACTGGCTACATCGAGTAACGGAAGTGAGGGTTAAATGCCCTGCTCGAGGGCACTTTAACAGTAATTAGTGAGGAAGGGATAATATCCAAATGAGTACCAGACCTGCAAAAATAATGAATCAAGTGATGAAGAAATGCATTCATTATTCCTTAGCACTTATTTTAGTTTGTTTTGTTTCCTTTGTATCCTATATACACAATGGACATTTAAGAATTCAAAAATTCAAACACCTACCACAAGTTTTCAGTGATTTCTTAAATAATGCTTGTTTTGTCTGACCAACACCTGAAACCAAAATTAATGTAACGAATTTGCTTAAACTTTCCTTGCACTAGTCTTTGACATTTTAGTACACATATACAGACACCTGGCATTTTCTTAATATATCAAATACACAGAACACTTGTACTTCCCCTAATTTTTTGTAATTAGGCTTACTAGATTTATTTATAATATCAGGGACAAAAACTTGTACACTTTGTGGGAAGTGTAAGAGAATTAGTTGATATTAAAGTAAGGTCTTCCCATTGATGGACCGGATAGTATTGATCAGTTCTCCAATAAATACTGTGTTGTACATGTTCTTGTTTCTCTTTAAGACATTTAAAAGTTAATTATGATTGACACTCTGCATCTGCAACAGCAGCCAAAATGACTGCAGTGGATGATGGCTTATTTATTCAGTAAAACCAAGGGCTAAGATTCTACATCATTATTCTAACTGGCTAAAACCAAACAGCAAAGAAAACAAACATCATATCCCAACTTCATCTGTGATACTCAGATTAGTGAAGATCATTGTTTGATTTGTGTGTGTGTGTGTGTGTGTGTGTGTATGAGAGAGTTTGCTCAATACCAGTATTTGCGTATGTGTTTATGTATTGTATGGGTGTGTGTGTGTGTGTGGCATTTTGTCATTGTGGCTCACTGTAATAAGTAGCAGCTGGTATTTATAGCTTTACCAGCACACTTTGTTCTTTTCCAAACAAACTAACTGACTTTTTAAAATCATCTGCAGTCCAGAAAATGATGGAGGCAAAGAAAATGAGTGCATGACTAACTCTCTCCATCTTCTCTCTATTGTTTTAATAACAAGTCTCTTCCTGCTCGTCCTCATAACCATCTCATGACAGCAGACACAAGTTTGAGAGAATATACAAATGTACACTTCCTGTGTCTATGAAGTGTTTGTATTGAGCCCAATCATCTCAGGCCAAGTAATCTGTTTGTAATTTAAACCAGATTGAACTGGCCTTTACCTCACACACCTGATGTACAGTTACTGCACTGCATGCAATGATTTAATGCCTTCTTCTTCCATAGTGAGTCCAAATCTGAACTTGTAGTTTTCATTTGGTGATAAAGGTTCAATAAAAATACCTAATCAAGAAAGAAAAACAACAACAGTAGAGTATTGTGGACTAGTGTTTCCTCTGATCAATATATGTCTATCATAATCTCTCTCAAAAGAAATAGACATAGATTTTAACAAGAGTGGTCAAAACTTAAGCAATAGAGGACAAGATATCCTGACCCTTAGTCCTTAGTATGGGTTGAACTCCTGGATCCTACATTTCCCATAATGTAACTCAGTAGCATCTTTCCTAAGACCCTTCCTGTCTTCTTCAGTAAATGCTAATTTCTTTCAAGTTCCACACTTTAGCTTGTAATGCAGGATTTCTGCATAACAATGTAAAATCCTCCAGAGCCACCTTTTGACAAGTAAACTAAACTTCATAAGAAAATTGTCCCTTCAACACTTCCAGGAACTAAATTTGTAACTAACCAAACAAGCATCCTATTTCTTTTCATCTATGTTTAAATTGTGGACACAGTGAAGAGCCATGTGCCACCGTGTTTGCATTACAATCTGCACTGAGCAGGACTTTGTTCATCTCTGAAGAAACTGCAATAATGATCTTCTACACATTTTTTCCACAGCTGCAAAAACAAACTTCCTGTCACAATAATATTCTCCAGTGGACAATTCTACACAAAACCAACATTCCCACAATGCTCTGGGGGCGATATTTAGGAGTGTACACCTCTGCACATTCACAATGCATCCAGTAGGTCCTTATTGTCATCCCTAACAGTTAAATTTATATTACAATTTGGCATGAGCACTGCAAATAAACAACATGGAGTGTTTACTTAAACCAGAGGTGGAGGAAGTAATCAGACCCTTTACTAACGGTACTATTACAAGTAAAAGTCCTGTACTGAAAATGTTAATACTACTTAAGTAAAAAGGATTATATGTATTTAAAGTATCATAAGTAAAAGTACTAAATGAGAGTTTTACTACTATATAGTTAGTACTATTGCTTTTGACTTTTACTCTTGTGGTTGGTTAAGCTTGATCAACACAATCATTAATTATTTGGTTTATAAAACATAAGAACATAGTGAGTCCATTAAAATTACCCTTAGCTCAAATTGGCATCCCCGTATTTCTTGTTTTATCCAACCAACAGTTGGTAAGTTAATCAAAATCAGTTAACGAAACATTTGCCAATTAATGTTCTGATAACTGACTCTTAATTGACCAACCAGTTAAGCTCAAATTTGATATACTGTTGGGTAGTTTAATATTTACAATGCGGAATAATGGAGTAAAAAGTACAATATTTCCCTCTAAAATGTAGAGGAGTAAGAAGAATTGCTCACTTAACATATAATACAACAGTTCTCAAGTAAATGTAGAGTTGCTTTTCACCACTAACTGAAGCTCATCATTGTCAGAAAAACAAGTCAATGCCTCTATATCAGTGTGGTTTCTGTATATAATATTGTACAATATACCAGCAGTGCCCGCAGCATTTGTCATTCTTACACTTTCTCCAGAAATGTAGTATATACAAGTGGTTTCAGAATTAGTGGCAATGCATTTCTAATTTCACTACTTGGTTGTGTAGTAAACTGACACCACTGACTTAGTCCAAATATCTCTCACTAGGTGCTCTTGTGTCAGCCTGCATGTACACATGGTGACTGATCAGAGGCAAACAGAGTAGGGAGTGAGGGTAAGGTGGAGGAGGCTGTTGGGAACACTGCCAGTGGGTCTCAACATCAAAACAAGCAGAGAATCTCAAGATTCCCAGTCAGATTATGAAGATATCTGCCCTCTGAAAAACTCTAAGGTTGACTAATTGGTACAAGTGCTGCAAAGTTGTGCAAGCTGCTGGCACATAACAGCTAAAGTCTGGATGAAGCAGTGCCAAGTGTGGAGTCAGTTGTGGCTGTGATCCATACTGATGGACCAATCCTGAGGATACCAGAAATATAATAAGGATTTTGGAGCTACTGCTTGACAGTACTTTAAAGAGTGGAAGGGGAAGCAAAAGGAAGGAGGAGGTGAAGCAGAGGTGGAAAAGAAAAAAAGAGAGGCAATTAAAGAGGAAGAGACAGGAAATCAAGGGAAAGAATGAAAACTTACTAATAATAAGGACAGAAAGATGGACTTCTTCTGACTTCTCCTCTCTGACATCTTTGCGTCTTCTTCCTAGAGACCAGAGAGAAAGACAAAGAGAAATGGAGACCGATTGTAATGCAATCACACTTCTGCACCAAACTTCACTTACAAAACAGCAAAGTCATGAATCTAAGCATTCCTGCCAACAGTAGTGCTGTCAGTGGGCACGTTGTGTGTGTGTGTGTGTGGCCCAGATGAGTTCACTGTCCCATTAACCATCACGTCATTGCCCATAAACATGTAATAGCAGCAGAACAGCCCATGGCATTCCTCTGGCTCATAACTGCAAGCACACATCACCGTTGGCTAACCTCTGCTTCAATAAAGGTGGGTGATATCACTTAATAACATTTAATTATCTGCGTATTTCTTTGCTATGTCTCTCTCACACTAGGGTTAAAGTTTTTCTCCAAATCCAAAACTTAGTTGAAATCCCAGTTAAAACAGCATTTAAGTCTGGTTTCACACCTACGAGTGCTATAACTAGGACTTGTAATACTACTGTTTCATGGTAGCTTTGTACTGCATAAGGGTGTTACAGTTAGGCTTGAGAGTAATATTCAATCAAATTGCTAAAAAAATATATATATATTTCAGTTCACAGCTCCACTAAAATGAGGTTAAAGTTAAAAAGCATCTGGTAAATGGCTGAGTTGCTACTCCACACGCACAGTGGCTGTGATACCGAAGTGGACGTTGGGTAAACAGTCATTAGGAGATTGCCTGTTTGTTTTAGCAACCAAGCTGAATTATTCTCTGTCCCGCGGCTGACTGCTTTAACGGCTTTGGCAAGAAAACTAACAGGTTGCAAAGGTGTAAAAGCCCCGAAAGCACAGAGTACGAGAGAAATGTGTCAAGATGTGTTTGTTACTTGTGCAATGATGGCTGGTTGGTTGGATGTACTTTCATTGCTGTTGATAGCAACACTTCATAAAGTCTGCGTGGATTTCTCTCAGAAGGCATGAATTAACATATACCTGCGTGTTCGCGTGGGTCCATGTGCATGTGTGGTAATGGGTGTAATTGCTTGTTTCCTTCTTTCTACATGTGTCCCCAAGATCAAGCTTCGTATGTATTTACTGTGTTTTGGCTTTGCCTTGATCTGCACTGAGCATGGACCATTTGTATGTCGGTGTGTGTGTGGTAAATAAGTCCGTCATATGTTATGAAAGGATATGTGTGTGTAGGTCTCGGTAAAAAAAAATCACCGACTTAGGCCACATTTAAAGAAACGATGGAGCCAGAATCAACAAATCAACTTGCAAAAAAAAATAGAATCAACCAGAAAACCAGAGTTCTTCTGGTGTAAATCACTGCCCTCAAATGGAAAAAAAGTTTAATAGTAAGAAACAGCAAATCGTTCAGTGTCCTCTGAGGTTTGCGCTCTTTGAATCATTGCTAGAACATGTGCTTTTTACGTGAAGCTGAGTTGTTGCTTTGCTCACTGTTTACTCGACTCACACACAGCATCACCCAAAACCTCGGTTTTGTTTTCTTTTAATGTCTATAAAAATCTAGCACAGCACAAGCAGCTTGCATGCATGATTAAACAGAAACATATTCATTTAAAGGGCCACTCGATAAATTATGTAATATTTACGACACATCCTATTTTTCCAAGCATGCCACTGGGTTTTTTATCCTTCATCTGTGTGTGTGTGTGTGTGTGTGTGGTGTGTGGTTGTTGTGTGTTGGTCTTTTGACGGGTGGAAGTACAGAT